CAGATAAAGAGCTTCACAGATAAGAAAAAGCTAAAGGAGTTCATCACCACCAAACCAGTATTATATGAAATGCTGAAGGGTATTCTTTAAGAAGAGGAAGAAGAAGAAAAAGGTAAAGATAAAAATTATGAACAACAAAGTGACAACAAATACATATCTATCAACAAGTGAATCTAAAAATTAAGTGAATAAAAAAGCTGATAAACAGAATAAACTGGTGAATATAATAGAATCTGGGGCATAGAAAGGGAATGGACTGACAATTTTCAGAAAGAAGGGGGTGTAGAGTGCGGGAAGAGACTAGACAAAAATCATACACCTATGGACGAGGACAGTTGTGGGGGTAAGGGTATGGGGTGGGGTGGGAACCGGGTGGAGGGGAGCTATGGGGGGAAAAGAGGAACAACTGTAATAATCTGAATAATAAATATTTAATTTTAAAAAAAAGTGAAGAAAAAAAAACCAGGGAGAGTACATTTTCATACTTTAAACTCTAGTAATAAGTTATATCTTCACAATATTGATAATGACAACCCACCAGGACATTGCACAGAGAACACTGCTTCTTTCTCTCATAAGGGGTCAGTTTGGGAGCATAATCAGTATTTGCGTGTCGTCCACTGCTCAACTCAGCAGCTTTTTCTTTTCTTTGTTCAATCTGTTCCATGTGCCTTCTAATGCTTTCATCATGCTGCAGATGAAGTCAGAGTGTGAGAATATAAAAAATTACTCAAATTATACTGATAACTTGAAAAAATATTTCTATTAAGCCTTCTAAAATAACAGCAGAATGTCATAATTCAATGTTAATGTGAACACTGAGAACAAGAATTTACATAAAGACCTTTAATAACTCCTGCATGTACAGTTACATTTCCTAAATGTGCTCCACGGAGCTACATGGGATCTTAGTAAGTGCTTTGTGGAAGAGGTTCCATGGCCAAATAAACTGGGAAAATAGGAAGTGAAAGCTAAAAAGGTTTTTAAAATTGACTTTATGTAGCCTGTAGTATGTCACTGTCTGTGAGCTATGACTCAATGAACAACATCTGACACACTCATTACACACAGCACACCTCTGAGAAGCACTTCCTGGAACACCCTGTGGGAAATGTTGACCCACAGGTAAGGACCAAGCTGATCGTCAGCACATCAGGCCTCTGTCCACACCAACTACACTGCTAACTGTCCTACACCTCCAGTGACTTCCCAGAGAACAAAACAAACAAGCTAAATTACACTACTTCCAACTTCTGACTCCCCCCTCACACTATTTCATGAGGCTGAAATGGCATCCCATCTAACTACCCATTTTCCTACACATGTAACTCATTTTTCTTTTAAGATTCAGCTCAGGAATTACTCTCTAGGATTACTTCCCCTCACCCTTCGTGTTGGACTGAGTACCCCCTCTGTACCTCAGCAGCACTCTGTGTAACCTTCATCCACATGGAAGTTGTGTGCTCGGCATCTGAAGCTCACGTTAGAGTATGAGTTTCTTGAAATTCATGGTCACATCTTACTCACCTCTATTCCCATGCCTACCACAGGCTCCGTAAGTATTTACTGCATTAAATGTAAATGAATGATAAAGTTCTAGGACTACACAAATAGCAAAGTGTGGTGTCCTGCATACAGAATTTACCATCTCTATGAGGAGCCAACATGTGAAGAATTGTGGCAGAATGTGAAGTATTCGTACTGCCAGAAGCTGCACTACTGATGGTGAAGATTTTCTAGAAAATGTAAGTTTATCGTGTCTCCAAACTACAAACATGCAAGTCCTAAGCACTAAAACCAAGTGAAACTATCCTATCCTGTATAATAAAAGGCTAATATGCAAACTGTCCCCTCGACCAGGAGTTCAACCAGAGGGCAGGTCCGACCTGCCAACCACCCGCGGCTCCTCCCAGGCAGCCCCGCCCCAGACAAGACCACCCCCACCCCGACAGGCTCTGATCAGGGTGGGCCGGCCGGACCCCACCCGTGCACGAATTCGTGCACCAGGCCTCTAGTTTATAATAATCACTGCTCAGTAAAAACAAGAAATGTTAAAATGTGGTTATTTTTTTTCCTCAATTGCTTAATAAAATTTAGTTTTCAGATAGTTGAACTGGCCAATATGATTGTAGCGAAATCATATTTCTCATTATCAAAAGATCAGGAATACAAATTAATTCAATTTTCTATACAATTAATTCAACAAATAAAAATTTAATCTCATGCTCCATGACAGCTCCAAGCTTTCGCAGTCAGACGCGTAAACCCACCTTGAGCTGTATTTTCTTCTGCAGCTCCTCCATGGCCTCCTGCTGAGCAGCCGTGAGAGCAGCCAGCCGTTCTTCCCTGTCTCTGTGCGAACCCAGGGGAGGAACAAACCGCAGGTTAAACAATACAATGAGGGCTCACAGTCTTCTCTATTCTACACCAGCGGTCGCCATCCTTTCGGACCTCATGGACCAACAGTGGTCCACGGACCACCTGTTGGCGACCACTGTTCTAAAGGGTTATTGTTTTTTAAAATTATTTTTCTAAGTGCCTGTTAAGTCCCAGACATACTGTTCATTAAGTGCTTGGAAAGCAGCAGAAATTATTAGTTATGAAATAGGTTTCTGGACCCAGGCAGAGGTTTAAATATTAGCTCCAAGGCTGTCACTTAAATATGCCAGTAAAACCACAACAAACGAATAGAAAAGGCATGAACTCACACAGAGAATAGGAGGAAACGATCCCAAACAAATTATGAGACATACAAAAAAGTATGACCATGCTTGGGAAAAAAGCAGTGAATCGAAACTCTCTGAATGAAGTCATATGTTGGAGTTAGCAGACAGAGACTGCAAAACAGCTATTATAAACATGTTCAGATAATTAAAAGTGTGCCAAAATAAAGAAAAATATTATGACAATGATTTAACAAACAGGGACTCTCAACAGAGAAAAGAAAGAGTTTAGAACAGCATTCCAATAAGAGGCACAAGGACCCTTGAACAAGCGGCTGATTCTGGGGGTGGCGCATGGAGAACACGATGCGTCTGGAGCGCCGTGCGCGTCGGAGAGGAAGGCCGCGCCGAGAAACCACTGAACGACGTCAGGGGACTCAGGGGCCAAACGGAAGAGCTCCCAGTGTCAACGTGGAACAAGTGAGCAAGAAATGAGTGACAGAATACTAGCATGTAACTGAAAGCACAAAAAGACATAAAAAGTCCACACTGACATATGAATGAATGAATGAATGAATGAATGGGAGAGGACAGACTGCAAATAAGTTCTGCAGTGATTCTTCTCTCGACAGGTGTGGGCTCTGCTCAGTGGCTCGCTTCCAAGGAGGACAGCAGAGGGAAATTTTTAAAGTCACTACACAAGGAAGAAACCTGACCCCATCCTCACCAGGTGACCAAGGTTCACAAACTCCGAGGTTAAGTCCAGCGGACAGCATGAACCTCTGACATGTTAAGAATAGAAATCCAGCCCTGACCAGTTTGGCTCAGTGGATAGAGCGTCGGCCTGCGGACTGAAAGGTCCCAGGTTGGATTCCGGTCAAGGGCATGTACCTTGGTTGTGGGCACATCCCCAGTAGGAGGTGTGCAGGAGGCAGCTGATCGATGTTTCTCTCTCATCGATGTTTCTGACTCTCTATCTCTCTCCCTTCCTCTCTGTAAAAAATCAATAAAATATATATTTTTTAAAAAGAATAGAAATGTACATTTAGCCCTGTGGTCCTACTGTCAGAAACCATAACCCTAATCTAACCATCAGAAACACATCAATTAAATCCTAACTGAGCAACAGTATAAAATACCTGACCACTCTCAAAACTGTCAGGGTCATCAAAACCATGGGGAATCTGAGAAACTACTAAAACTCAGAGGAGCAAATAAATACCTGGAGAAATAATGGCCAAACACTTTCCAAATTTGATGAAAAACAATCATGAAGAGAACCAACCTAGACAAATCATAGTCACACAGAAACGTGAAAGGGCCAAGACCGTCCCAACAGCATTAGATACCAAAATTATTACCAAGCTTTGATAATTAAATCAGAGGATAAAGAAAGTAACCACCAGCTCAAAAGACAGAGCCACAAACAGAGCCATGCATCCAAGGAAACTTGATTTATGTCAGAAAGCTCTCTAGATCAGTAGGAAAATTTTGATTTTTCAATAACATGTACTAGAACAATAGGGTATTCACAATACAATCACAGAGAGTTGATTTTATTGTATGGTTTGAGATAGAAATACAATTTCTTTTTTAGTAGCTGCTAAGTATGCAAAAAGTTACTCAGCCTTATTATTAGCCTTGGACAGTACATTTTCACATACACCAAATTTGACACAATTAAAAGGTCAGAAAAAAATTCACATGTCAGCAAGGTATATACCAACCAAAAGGGACTTAGGCTTGGCCAATGAAATGCTTTTTCCTGGGTCTTTAAATCTTAAACAACTGATTTTAAAGTAAAGGGATGGCTGAAGGTCACTTATCATAATCACAGTGACAGCACGCTGACCAGACTGTTGCTACCGAAAGACCATGCTGTGGCTCCTGTGGCCTGGCCTCCGACGCCCGACCACCTGCAAGCCTGGTGCTCTCAGCTCCTACCACCTGTGCTCCCAACGTGCTCCTAAAAACCCCCTTTGCTGAATCAAGCAAGCCAGAATCAAACTCTATTTCTTGCAACCAAAACATTTTTGAAATACCATGTTTTCCATCCAACAGAAAGGTTAAAAAGGTTTTCACTTTAACATGATACTATAAAGCCTGGAAACAGACATTTCTGTACTTGGACTGTTTCTAAAAACATCTACACGACAGCAAGTGCCTTTAAGACTTGATTTGAACATTGACCCACTGCAAAACGTTTGTCAGGATCAAACCACAACAGGTACCTCGCTCTTTCCCTGGCGGCGTCCTCACGGGCCTTTTCCTTCTCTTGCCTCTGTTGTTCAATTCGCGCTTCTTGTTCTTTCCTCTTCATTAACAATTCCTCCACCCGGGCCTGCCGTTCGGCCTCGAGTGCTCTCTTTCGTTCCTAATGTCAGAAATGTTTTCAAAGAAGTTAGATATATGTGAAAAATGAAAATGACATAGCTTTGATATAAACGTATATATTAAAACCATGGAGATCCCTGGCTTGTCAGTAAGTTTGCTTCACAGAATTGAAACAAAAATCAAACATCAGTGATATCTGGTTTTCATGTAATTTACCAGTGTTACACATAATGATCAGAATAAATGCTATGTTCAGCAGATACTATGTTATTCATATTCTACAAGAACCTAGTAAGTATTTTATGGTTAATCACTTCTAAAGCCCTGTGTTTAGAAATGGTTCTAGAAATACCAAAACATCATGAAGAAAGCACAGTTAACAGATTTCTATGTGGATGTTCCATGTATCCATGGCTGTGGTTTTTAAGTAACGGGAATGCACTGCTTAGGACCTTGGTCAGAGGGAAACTTTCTACTCCATGAAAGCATCTTGCACAGGGGAGGGATTCCATAAATATGTTAATAAATGAAGCATGACTTTATAAAGTAAATCTATATCCTTACAAATAAAGAACATAAACCTATGGCAAAGGAATTAGAAAGGTATCTCCTAACTCTTACGCCTTCTGAAACCTCTTGGACACCACAGTACTTGGTTTCACAGTTACTCACATGTTACGGCAGCTTCAGAAAGAATCTGGCAACCCCCCCATTTATGCCTGAGATGTGGCAGGTGCCCACAAATGCTGCCAAATAAAATCCCACCTGGACAGCTTCGTCACGCGCTTGCTTTTCCTCCTGTCTTCGCTGGCGCTCTTCCTGTAACTCGTTAAGCCTCTGCTCATATTCCTTCAACTTCGATAAAACATCATGGCGTTTATTCTGGGCTTCGAGGGTATTTATGAAAGCAATTTCATTTACCTTTATTTTAAAAAAAAGTGAATTTCAAATAAAGTTAATTCTAGGGTATGCCACAAAAATAAACTTAACCGTCTTTACATTATAACATAAACCAGTGTAAAGGCATAAAACAAAAGTGTAATAGTCTATGAGTGTTTTCTTCAATATTTACCTCAAAAATGGATAATAATACAGTTATAAAATAAATCCACAGGCCTTAGTAAGAACTGATGTAAAATAAGTAAAATTCTGCCACAGAAAGTATTTTAAGTCAATAAATAAATTAGGATTCTCATAGAGACCATCTTATAAAGTTCTACATAATATCCTTATAATCTGCAACCATACAAATTACATTAAGATTAAAACAGTTACATATATGTGTTCTAAGGAGTTTGGACAAACCTTAAATAACAAATCATTTTTCTTTAACTTATACTGAGTGAATGACAATTAGGTACAAGGTACTGAACTGTACGCACTGCATCCTCAACTTCATATATACTGATTCTTAAGAGCCCAGCAAAACTTGACAGCAGTGTTTATGAGTAAAGCTGAAAAAAGTCAGTTGGGGTTGAACCTTTCTTTTTTTTTTTTTTAATCCTCACTCTAGGATATTTTTCCATTGATTTTTAGAGAGAGTAGAAGAGAGAGGGAAAGACAGAGAGAAACACATCGATTGGTTGCGGGCCGGGACGGAGCCTGCAACCGAGGCACAGGCCCTTCAGTGGAAACGAACCCAGGATCCTTCAGTCCACAGGCAGATGCTCTATCCACTGAGTAAAACCGGCTAGGGCAAAGTTTTCATTCTTTAAAGCCAGAAAAATACAGT